CCTGAGCAGTCACTGTTCTTCCTTCCAATATGGCCACATTGAATGCATCTCCTTTTTCTGCTTTTTGCCATTACTTGTTTCCCTGATTAGCCTATTGAAGCCCCACGGCAGAGTCTTGTTGGTAGGGCCAGGCCCTGACATCTCCAGTCACATTTCCAGTTCTTTGTGTCCTCCAAGTAAATGAGATGACTGTACTTACTGCACATAGGGGGCAACTGTGTGGCTGCCTTTGGACAATGAAGCGATGGGGAATGTACTTCTGTGTATGTTCATCTTATTGATTGTTGAATAAAGTACTGTTTGGCCAATGAGGCTGCAAGTTAGATGGGACTAGGAGTCAAAGAGGATTCTGGGAAATGTAGTAGAGAAGTGGTGATCCAGGCAGGAAGTAACATAGTGGGGAGACTCATATTTAAGCAAGGACAAGCAGGAAGTGGTCCCTTTTCCCCTTCGCTCTTCCTCCAGATTCGAGATGTGATCCACCAGCAAGGGAGGACGCCAATGGAAGGTGTCCGATAAGTCTTATAAAATATATAGATTTGTGATAATTAAGGCTGAGCTAGTAGATGAGAAATCCTAGTCATTGGCCAAGCGCATTTGTACATAAGTCTCTGTATTATTTTGTCCATCCACGTGGCGGGTAGAATTCAGGCGGCTGGTGGAGACCGCCCACATGGTGGTAGGTAACAATGAAATGTAAGCAAAAGTGATTAATGAGCCCAATCAATGTCTATGAATTCACTGACTTCTGCTACACTGACTGGGGGAGCCAGGAGTGACTTGGTGGTAGAATATGACTGGGGATAAGACTGTCCCTGGATGAGAGTCCCAGTGCAAGGTGTTGAAAATTAGCCTTTGTTTTGAGATCTGGAGTCCCTTGTTACTACAGCAAATCCCAAAGTATGGCCTGTGAGTCTGTCCCTTCCTTTGATTACTGTGTTTGGATCACACCATCTTTTCAGCTCCTAAACAGGTCACCATCTATTGTCCTTATGCCCACTGGAACCTTACCGCTGCACTGGCAGGGAACATAGCAGGAAAAGTAGACAGCCGAAGTCTGGAAGAGTCTTTGAAGGGGGTGGGGGACATTGAGAATTGGCTAAGGGGGCGGGGCTATAGGCGTGTGGCACACATTTTCTCACTCACCAGGCCCACAGTTGCCAACCACATACAATCTTTATTGAGTACTCTCTCCATGTATGGAGCTGTATTCTTCAGGCTTGGACAGTAAGATAATTTAGGTATGAAGAAGCTCAGTGACCATGGCGAGATCCCCAAACTACAGGAGGAGGAGGAGAGGAAGCACAAGAGGTCAAGGGTTATCACCATGAATGCTGCAGAGGAAAAGCACAGCAACATTTAGAAGAACAGATTGCATTTGGTTACGGGATATGGCTAGAGGCTATCAATCTTCAGAGCAGAGGCAAGCTTGTTGGAGGAGGATTCTGAGAGGGAGTTATAGGAGAGAGAGGTAATGAATGAGCTTTAAAACATGGAAACCATTCCTCCTATTGGTTTTTGTTCTTGCTGGGTTTTCTTTGTTTGTTTTGGTTTTTCAAGACAAGGTTTCTCTGTAGCTTCTGGAGCCTGTCCTGGAACTCGCTCTGTAGACCAGGCTGACCTCAAACTCACAGAGATCCACCTACCTCTGCCTCCTGAGTGCTAGGGTTTAAAGTGTGCCACTACCACCCAGAATAAAAGTGTAGCCCAGGCAGGCCTCGAACTCTTTATCCTACTGCCTCCGCCTCCTTCAGCAAATCCTACCAGCATGTGGCACCACAACCGGCCCATTTCTCTTACCAAGAATGTCAGGAATGACATACACTAGTTACAGTCCTTTCACAGGCAGTATTGTCTCCCTCACTTCATGGATGATGAAAGTCAAACAGAGGGGTTAAGTAACTTGGCCCAAATCTTACATCAAGAACAGCTGGAGTAAAACCCAGATTGCTAACTCTACCCACTGAGTGTTCTTCGTTGCCTTGTACACAGGGTGCTGATTGCTAGATGTGCTTTGGAACATGAGGCAGGGGACTAAAACCTATACAAAGGGTAGTTACTTTTTAAAACAGAAGCAAAGTGGCTGAGGGGACAGCTGAATTGGCAAAATTCTTATTGTGATGACCTGAATCCATGAGAATAAGCGTCTAGACGGTGAGGTGTTGAGTGGGAGGACCTAGGATGAGAAGAAAAAAGCAATAGCTGGGACTGGGAGGGTCTTGCATAAACTGATGATCTCTATCTATACCAAGCAAGTTTATGAAAAAGTACACCTTTAATCTCAGCACTCTGAGTTTGAGGCCAGCATGGTCTACAGAGTGAGTTCCAGAACAGCCAGGGCAGAGAAACTCTGTCTTGTAAACCACAAACAAACAAAGAAGTATGCACTATTTGTAGGGGGAGAATGGGCCAAGGTCAGCAGAGACAGTGTTGGCAAAGAGAACACAGGATTCATTAGACCCAGCTGCCTTGGGACTGACAACCACAGCCCTTCAGGGGAGAAAGCAATTGTCTCCAGGAACAGAAGTCTTAACTCCCTCGAGGCCCGGGCCCCAGCCCCAGCCCAGTCCTTGCCAAGTCAGTTTTTGGCAAGGACACAGAACTAGCATTCCCTTTCTCCTTTCATCTAATCCTCTGAGAAAGTCTTGGGTCAGCCTGGCTCCCAGCACTGTGCAAGGATGAGGACCGGAGTTTGGATCCCTAGCACTCACACAAGAAGCTGAGCATGGTAGCATTTGCTTAAAATCCCAGTGATGGGGAGGCAGGGATAGGAGGATCCCTGGGATTTGCATCTAGCCAATCTAACCAAATTAGTTCCAGCGAGGGACCTTGTCTCAAAGAACAAGGTAGGGACTGGGGATATGGCTCAGTGGTTAAGAGAGCTTGCTGTATAAACATGAGGACCTAAGTTTGAATCCTCAATACCCATGAAAAAAGCTGGTCATAACCATGCATACCTGTAAACCTAGCATTGTGGGGGACAGAGATGAAGATCACTGGTGCTTGCTGGCTGTTCTTATTGAAGTAAGAGACACTGTCTCTTGGGAGTAAGGCGGGGGGGGGGGGTTACAGGAAGACATCTGGCACCCTCCTCTCGTCTCAGTGCACAAGCACAGGTACACACCTGCCTCGATTAGCCCAACACACACTTATGTACACAAAACAACAACAAAAACTACCAAAACTCCAAAGGGGACCACTCTTGATTAATGATATCTGAAGTTGACCTCTGGTTTCTACATACATGTGCACACACTTGTTCATGAACATACACAATATAGGTATTAAAAAACAATTACATGTGAATTGAGAAGCCAAAAAAAAATGAATGTTTTTTTCCCCCAGGAAGTGTTCTTGATTTTTATTAGAGTATTAAAAAACAACAGTATCTTGTTTTTTGTTCATTAAAAGAATAACAATGACTCCTTAACATGAAGTGAATTTCTTGGGGTCTGGGAACACGTGGATGGAGAGAGAATCTGATATGGCAGGGGAGGTGCCTTAGGTGCCAACACTAAACATTGACCAGGAAAGAATGCCCCCCCCACACACACACACAAGGACACAGACGAAGCTTTGTTTAAAAAAAAAACGCATATTTGATACTGGGGAGCTAGACTCTGGGTTGGAGCTAATCAGGCCACACTTGCTCACAGCAGCTGTTCCTCTCACAGCTTCTCAGCCTAGAATCTGTACAAGAGATTCCAGGAAAGAAACAAATTCTCAGACCAGACACTGTCCAAGCTATGCCCATCTGCAGCCCCCTTTACCTCCTCAGTTGATCTTGGGATTCCTGCTGCTACAGGGTGACAGATACCCCACCTAGAGCCCATGAGTCTGTAAACAAACTCCCCTGAATGCCAGAATAGCAGGTGCCATTTTCACTTCACTTTTGGACTAAGTTGTCAGTTTCTGGGGCACCACAGGACTGCATCCTCCCACAAGACTGGAATACCAGAGGGCTACCCTTGGTGACACATCCCACACCTGTATAATGAGTACACCTCAACTAGATGAGTACTTCCCTCCAAGTCCCGAAAATCCTCAGAGTCCCACATTCCTACTCAAGAGTACCTCCCACCCACCATGGGCCCTGCAACCCACAAATCAGAGACAGACTGACCATATAAAACCTGCCCCTTCCTGCCCCTTCCTCTAAGACCTACAAGATATCATCCCTGGCTTGTGAGCCTGCACTCCCTTTAGAGCCTGTCTGTCCATGGTGTTCGAGTTAATAGCCCTTCTAATAGACTTCTTACTCCAAAGGATGCCAGGCGTTCCAGGGGGACCTGAGTGATCCAATAGGCTACAAAGGAGCTAGTTTGTGGAGATACCTATCTTCCAAGCAGGAGGATCCTTATCATCATTTTTCTGCTCTTCAGCCCTGATTACTACATGTTTTCAACAATGACAGTTGTTTTGTTTGTTCCCTGTTTTGTTGGAGGATCTCATATAACACAGGTATGAAAGTCTTCACTGTCTTGCCTCCACCTTCTGATTTCTGGGATTGCATTTATTTGCCACCACACCTGGCTAGTGACTGGTGGATTTTAATATGAAGCTAATTGACAGAAAAGAACACAGAGTAGGAGGAATGGGGAAAAGATAGAAGGGAAGGCTAGATTTGTTGTAAGCTGGAATGTACCATCTCTGTGACAGGTGAGAGAAACCATCCTTTCCCAAGGACTCCTTGAACACACAGGGTGGTGGGTGGAAAGGACCTGACAGTTTTTTACCAGGGCTGACCACACAGTCTGAGAGACTGGAGATGAAACAATGTGATCACCACTAATAATGAAATCATTTCTGAATCTCCAGACAGAGCAACCAGAAGAAAAAAGTTCTAAATTCTCAGAGATCTTCCCAGAATGCACAAAGAATCAGAAAATATTGAAAATAAAAAAGAGTTTCTGTAACCACTGATCCCCAGATTGTGAAAATATCCCTCTGGCTAAGGTTCCTGCTTTACTTCTGGGACCAAATGTTCTACTGGTCCCAACCATGGAAAAGCATCCAGAACTACTGGGGATGTTTTTCTATATGACTAAAATCAGACTGTGGGGGAAAGAGAGCATGTTTGCCTTAATGTAAGCAGTCTGATGGGTATTCTCCTGATTGTTAACGGAAGAGACCATTTCCCATTAAGAAGTTCATTTCCCATGATTCCTACAATTGGGGTGGTCCAATTGTTTCTTATTGTTCAAGGCTCTGTCTAGTTTGTTCCTAGATGAGTTGATTAGTGGCCACAAAGATGAGACACGGGGCAGAGTGGAAAGCCTCAGGGTGGGCCATATAAGCCCAGATTCCGGGCAGCTTGGGAGATCCTGGGAAGTTTCCTCTGGGGAAATGGATAGTGAGATGCTTTTCCAGACCTGTGTAGGCTCTTTGTGGAAGGAAGATGCTGAACACCGGCTTGTAAACTGGAGCCTGCTGCCTGGAGTGGGATACCACCCTCCTGACTTTGACGCTGGGCTGTCTCCAAGATGTTGGTTTCTTGTTGAGTCTTCTGATTGTTTTCCATCATATTAGGGTCTCCCTCTGGAGAGAGCCTGGATTCTGACTCTGTGAGATAGCCCTTGGGGTTCCCTTGGTGGGAACCAAGGGTTTGAACCAAGCGATGCATCTCTAAGTATGTGTGCCATGGAGTCTCAGGAGCCTGAAGGCAGCTTCTGTCTACTTCCTCCAATGTCCCCTCAACCTCAGAGTCAGTGTCTTCCAGGGACAATGAGCTCTTTCTGTTCTTGTTAATCCAAACAACACCGGTCATCGATTCAGCTGGAGTAAGCATGGTCCCGTCTAAGAAGAGAAGGCACAGCAGTGTCATCATTGGGATGTCTCTGGGTAGCTCCCTTTGAGAGAAACCCATAGGTTTCAGATTAAAGGAAGGGGGATCCTAAATGCTAAAGGATCCAGACACCAGAACATTGCACATGTGTACCAACACATGCAAACACACATGACCTGGCATGTGTGTACTCTTTCTGTCACACATGTCTTCTTCCCCAACATATAATTACAGTTATTCATAATTCAACAAATATTTATCAAACACTATATCCAAGACCTTTTTTATTTTCAAATACTCACAACCTAACAGATGGGTCTTAATACAGGAGAAAGGCAATAAGTAATGAAATATGTTAAAAGTCCAGGTGCTAACTGGAAAATGTGCAGAGTGAGAGATTTGGGTACTTGTTCTTAAATGGGATGTCTTCATCAGGGCCCTTTCAAAGGCTTTAGGAGCTGTGGAAGAGGAGCCAAGAAGACTATAAGAGCCAGAGGAGATGGAGGATGCTGTTTCCTTGGAGTCATCCATCTCCTCTGGCTCTTAACAGTCTTCCTGGCTTTGCCAGGTGCCTGCTCGAAGGAAGATGGATCACAGGGATATGCCCTCCAGGGTGCCAGGACACCAGTATCTTCCTCTCTTTTGCTTCCTGGCCACCAGGAGGAAAGCACTGTGCACCACCACATGCTCCTACCATGATGCACTGACAAAGATCAAAGACACGACCGAGTGGCCCTGGAATGAATCCTCTGGAACCAGGAGCCAAAGCAGACCTCCTTTTAGTTTTTTCTGTCTGATGTTTTGTCACATGACGAGCAGCTGATTAACACACTCCCATCTGAATTCACACACATGTATCATGGGAGAATATTGTTCTTAGCTTGTGGGGTCTGTGTCCTACACTTATAATAATGATTTTATCACCCAAGGCAGGAGAGAGTCCATGGGCACTTCTGAGAAGTGTCTGTTTCTTCTCTGACTGGGCTTCAGCCTCATTGCTAACAAAGTACAGTGGGGAGATGGTACTGGGGGAATGATGTCATCAGGAAACCCCTCCAAGGCCCACTTTAATAAACCCAAAAGAATCAGAAGAACTAGAAGAGCAGATGCAGCCATTTCTGCACATGGGTGCAGTGTACATGTGAACTAGGGAGGATGGTGATCATGCTCACACTTAGAATTGCACTAATTTTCGGCATGGCAGGCACACCAGCCTTCTTGGTACTCAGATGATCTGCAGGAATTTGAGGATAAGGAAAGATGGGGAGGGGATGGAAAACATAGGAAGCCAAAACCAGAATTCTCTCTCATCTACCAGGAGACGGGGTGGCCTCAGGGACAGACAGGCAGGTCTTCATAGCAGAACCTCTTAACTTTCAGTTCTAGTCTGTGGTTCATACAGGACAAAGAGAAAGAAACACACACACACACACACACACACACACACACACACACCACATGTACACATATTCACATCACACACAAAGACACCACACACGCGTGCCCACATGCCCATACACACACACACACACACACACACACACACGCACACACACACACACACACACACCACACGGAGAGAGGGAAGAGAAGGTCCAAAGGGAGGGAGAGGGGAGATACCCATTGTCCTTGGCCATATAGTGGAACCTTCTACAGCAGCCCTGCCCACAAATACTTTAGAATAACTTCTGCCTTCAATCTCCAAGCTAAAAAGAATATTCAAGAGCACAGAAGTTTCATACTATGGTTTTCCTTTCATTTTAAAAAGCCTTTACATTTTATTTGATGTGTGTGTTTTGCCTGCATGTACCTATGTGCACCACATGCAAGCCTGGTGCCTGTGGTACACTCCCCTGGAACTGGAGTGACAGACAGATGGTTGTGAGCCACCATGTAGGTGCTGTAATGGCCCCCAGGTCTTCTGCAAGATCAACAAGCACACACCTTAACCACACCCCCCCCCCTCAAGTTTTATCTTTACACCTGTTTTGGTTTGATGTGGTCTGTAGGGGGATGGGGATGGTAAACCCAGGTTTTGTTCCAAGGTTATGTACATAATCACTCCATTCTATGATGTGATACCTATCACTGTGGAATGAACTCTGTCTCCCTGAGCCCTGAGTTCTGGCTCAGCCAGTTCCCAGAATAATGGAAGCAGCCATCTATTTTATCCAAAGCCATTCTCTCTGTTTTGCTTGTGGATCCAGTAAAGAGGCTGAGCCTCTATCGTCCCACTGAGCCTAGCAGGGGGGCAAGCCCACTCACCTGACCAGTCTAGCCAGATCAGAGCTAGGAGAAAGAGCTACAGAGACCAGGAACAGTGGCCATTGGCCAAATACCTGGCAGAGGCCTGTTTCTTTGGCTAAGGGACAGACTGGGCAGAGCCACCCCAATCTAGCTTCCCTGGCCCAGTTCTGACTGGATCAGAAGCGGCTCTTCTTTTCCTCTTCAGGAGACTGGCCCAGCCATGGCCCTGCCCTCCTTGGACTTCAGTCACCTGTTCCACCCATAAAAAAGCCTTTTTCTCCAGAACTAACCCTACCTTTAGGGAACACCATCAGGTGGGCATGGGTCCTCTGCTGTCTCCTCAGACCTTCATACTGGGCGCGAAGGAGCTGGATGTTGACAGGAGGCCCTTGACCTGCCGCCTGAGTCCGGGAACCCTCAGCCATTAAGCAGGCCCCCAGCTCCAAGAAGTTGGGTAGGGCAGGGCACGGGCAGGCCAACCCTTTCATCCGCATCCGCATCCGGGAGAAAAGCAAACACTGCGGCTGAGTCAGGGGGAGGGGAGGGGAAAGAAGGGTAGGTGGTAGAGTGAATGAGAGGGAAGGGAACAGAGAGTGAGGAGAGAACCTGGAAAGATGGGGAGAGAGGGAAGAAGAAACTGAAGGGACCAGAATGGGGAGGTGGGAAGAGGAGGAATGAGAAACAGCAAAGGTTAGTTCTCAACTAAAGTGGAAGGTTCCGGGAGGGGCCAAGAAAGGGGGAGCATGGGGAGAAGGAAGGAGTGAAGTGAGGAGGGGTTAAGAGTAGACGCGAAAGTAGAGAGCGAGGAAGTGGGGTGGGTAGGAGGAGGTGAGGAAGGAGTTGAGGGTAAGGGTGAGTGCTAAAGGGAAAGGCAAGCGTAGCTGCTGGGATCTTTGTGGCAGCCCAAGAAGCTTTTATTCCAGCTGCTTCACCCCGTGATGGTCAAGTTTAGAATGCAGTTCCAAGAGCTACAGTGAGATTCCAATTTCCTGGCAGAGCTGAGCTGAGCTGAGCTGAGGAGTGCCAGGCACCTGCTCGCTCTGCACAGGGTTTGAGCTTAACAGGCCATTAAAACCTGCTGGCTTAATGAGCAACGGTCACAAAAAGAAACACCTTCAGCAGCCTTGAAAGCGGCGACTCATGGTGTGTACAGGATCACCCTAAGGTCTCCATGCAGCCCCCAACACACCTCCCATGTAAAAGCCCAGCCACAAAATCTGCTTAGCAGACAGAGTCCAGGGGAGCCCTGGCTTCCCGCCAGCTAGCCCCACCTCTTTGACATTTGAGCGGCCTCTGTGGTCTTGACCTTTTCCAACTAAACAGAAAGTGGGTGTTTATCTTGCCCACAGCTATGGGGACCCTCACCCCCTGTTTGTCAGCCCTGCTATTTCTTTGAATGGCAGACACTGCCTCTTCTTAAGCTAGCCTTGACCTGTCTTTGCTCTGCTTGCTCCAGTAAGTTCTTTTCCTTCTTCTAATGCAATACTTACTACTGGCCACCTGCCTGGTACACTTGCAGAGCAATGGGTGAGGAGATGAGGAAGTGTAAATCGTCAGTGGGTAGTGTAATTAGTTCACTGGAGCTGCTATAACAAAGGCCCACAAACTGAGTGGTTCTTGCAACAGACATTGCTGTGTTTGTGTCACAGGGACTAGGAGTCCAAGATCAAGTGTGAGCAGAGACAGTACTTCTGGAGACTGTGTAGGACAGTCTGTTCTACATAGCTTGCCTAGCTTCTGTTGGCTTGCTCTCGATACTTGGTGATCCTTATTTTATGAAGGAATCACTTCACCTTTGTCTCCTTGTAATATTCTCCTGTATGTCTCTGTTGACTTTTCCCCCTTTTAAAAGGACACCAGTTATTGGAGTAGAGCTTAACCTAATAACCTCTTCTTTTTTGTTTGTTTGTTTGCTTTTGCTTTTGTTTTGTTTTGGTTTTTTTTTTGCCATTTTCTAATATTGAGTTATACATTTTTCCCCACTCCCTTTCTCAACCTCATCTTAATTCAACTAATGAAACTGGCAATAAACTTACTTCCAAGTAGGGCATGTGTAGGCTCTGGATTTAGGATTTCAGCAAGTGAACTGGGGCTGAAGGGACATTATTTAGAGTATGTCAGGTAGAATGTGACAGTTCCATTCAGAGAGAGAGGAAGGAGAGAGGAGATGACTGGGTGGAGAGGGAGGAAGCAGGGGGATTTGCTTTAGGTATTATAGTTGGGGTTTCTCTGACCCTTTCTGGCAACAGGAGGGAGTTGGGTGCTTGATGGGGAAATCTCACCCGAAAATGCCATTGTTTGTGAAAATGACAATTTTTTATTGGAAAAGTTCCATTGTTAGGAATATATAGAATTGGTCCTCCCTCCCTCCCTTTCTTACATTCATGAGTTGTATGTGCATATTTGTACAGGTGCACATGTGTGTTTGTGTGTGCATGTGTGCATGGCAGTCAGAGGTTGATGGAGGTGTCCTCAGTCACTCTCCACATTGCTTTTGAGGCAGGGTTTCCTGATGACCTTGGAGTGCAGCAATTTGTTTAGGCCAGCTGGCCAGTGCACTCCCAGCATCTGCAGGTTTCTATGCTCGCAGTGTTGGGTTTACAGACTCATGTCACTGGTCTTCCCTTTATGTGAGGCTGGGGATCTGTATTCCAGTCCTCATGCTTGCACAGCAACCACTTAACCAATGGAGCCATCTCAACTTGACTCCTCCCCCTCCCTCCCTCCTTCCCTCTCTCCCTTCTTCCTTTTCCTTCTTTCCTCTTTCCCTTCATCCCTTCCTTTCCTTCCCTTTTTGTCTTGTTTTTTGACTTTTGAGACAGTTTCACTTTGTAGCTCAGACTGGCCCTGAATTCATGGCTATCCTCCTGCTTCAGACTCCGACTCCCGCTCTGAGTGCTAGGATTACAGGTGCGCTGCCATGCCTGGCTTTCTTTCTTATTAGCTTCCCACTAGTATGTTCATGTTTGAATTGGGCACATGAAGAAGTCCTCCTTCATGCCCTCCTACTTTATCCTCCTCCTCCTCCTCCTCCTCTCCTCTCCCGGGCCTTCATTCTCTTCTGTGGTGGGGAAGCTCGTGGCAGACATTGTTCACATTAAGACACACGAGGAAGCAGAGTGATGGGAAACAAAGGTGTGTGTGGTGGTTTGAAAGAAAATGCTCCCCAAAAGGAGTGGCACTATTAGGAGATGTCTTTTTGGAGAAGGTGTGGTCTTGTAGGAGGAAGTGTGTCACTGTGGAGGTGGGCTTTGAGGTCTCATATAGGCTCAAGCCATGCCCAGTGTCTCAGACCACTTCCTGTTGCTTGTGCAAGACGTACGACTCTCAGCTACTTCTCCACCATCATGTCTGCCTGCACCATGATGATAATGGACTAAAATGTCTGAAACTGTAAGCTGCCACCCCAATTAAATGTTTTTCCCTTATAAGGGTTGCCATGGTCATAATGTGTCTTCACAGCAATAGAGACCCTTACTAAGGCAGTAAATATAACCCCCAATAACCATCCCCAACCCAACTAATGGCCAACTCCCAAACACTCCATAACCTCTTGAGAGAGTGTCCTAAGTTGAGGACCATGCATTAAATTATTCAAACCATAACAGGTGGCCAAAGATGGGGACTACAGAATGTCCATTTCTCTGCTATGGAGTAGTATCTGAGTGTCTTCTGTGGGAGACTGCTTATCTTCCTGGGGACACAGTAAAAGCTTCACTGACGAGTACCTCCCCTGAGCAGTCTGATCAATTAGTCTGGAGTAGTATCAGGACATTTGCACATTTCTACACTTACTTGTGTTACAGGGAGCTCACCAGAGATGATCGCCTAGATACAGTGTGTAGCCAATTAGAAGTCTTCAATCCAGCTGGCTGGGACCATACCCAAATGTCCAGGTGTAGCCTCAAGTGTCCAGAACATGGTTTTTGTTTTGTTTTTAAGCAGAAACCACATCCTGACATCGCACTCGGGCAGGAGCTACAGGGGAGCTTTGAAGACGTAAGCAGTTTGGAACAAGTAGATGTAACAGAAGCTAAGATAGTTAGCTAGGACTTCCTGACCTTTGGCTCTTGAATAGTTAGGAAACTTTTCGTGGGATTCTGCATAAAGGAGATAAGATTCTAGTTAAACTTGAAATGGCCTTGGCATCAGTACAAGATGGAGGAACCTCTGCACTCTCTCCCCATCACACCTGCTGCTCTGGGAAAGCAGCTGCCTGTTTTCTGGCTACCAGAGACTCTCGCTCATTAGAGGACAAGCGGTAGGAGAGAGAGCTTCATTTGTTCTGTTTTCATTTTTAAAATATGAATTCCTATAGCCCAGGCTAGCCAAGCTGGTTTGAAGCCCAAATCCTCTGGCCTCCACCTTTCTAGTGCTAGGATAGCAGCAGTCATTTACCCCAGCTTCATCCCTGTCTTTCCAAAAGAAAAAAAAAATTGTTTTTTTTTTTTTTTTTTTTTTTTTTACATTCCAATCCCAGTTCCTCCTTCCTACTCTCCTCCCCCTCCCTCCACTTCCCTCCCCCCACTCCTTTGATCTGCTCCTCAGAGAGGGTAAGGCCTCCCCTAGAAAGTCTACTAAGTCTATCCCATCATCTAGTTGAGCCAGGACCAAGGCACCTGTACCCTCCCGCCCCCCACACACGCCTGTGTCTAGACTAAGCAAGGTATCTCTTCATATAGAATGTGCTCCACTAAATCACTTTGTACGTTAGAGTTACATCTGGGACCCACTGCCAGTGGCCTCATATATTGTCCCAGTCACACCATTGTCACCTGTATTAAAGGAGTCTAGTTTGGTCTCATGCAGGTTCCCCATTTGTCAGACCCTAGTCAGTGATCTCTCACTAGCTCGGGTCAGCTGATTCTGTGGGTTTCCCCATCATGGTCTTGACTTTTGTTCATATTTTTTGCTCCTCCCTCACTTCAATTGTACTCCAGGAGCTTGAACCATTGATTAGTTGTGGATTTCTGCATCTGCTTCCATCTATTTCTGCAAGAGGGTTCTAGCTTCTCTGGGGTTGTGAATTGTGGGCTGGGTATCTTTTGCTTTATGTCTGGTATCCACTTATGAGTAAGTACATACTATATTTGTCTTTCAGCATCTGGGTAACCCTGATATCAACCCACATACCTATGAACACTCAATTTTTTACAAAGAAGCTAAAAATATAAAATGAAAAAAAAGCATATCCAACAAATGGTGCTGGTGTAACTGGTTGTCAACATGTAGAAATGAAGGGACCAGGCCCCCCCTTTTGGCAGCAATAACAGCCTAATACATGCTTGCCTGACCTTGCCTTGGTCAGTAGGAGGTCAGATGCCTGCCTCATGGCAAGGAACCAATCAGAAGTTAGCTGGTAGTGCTATGCTTTACGGCTCTGGGTGTGCTTTATGGACAAGTGCACAGCAATGATGTGCAGAGCATGGCAACCGCCCTGGGAGGGCCTATGGGACATAACAAACAGTTGGCCAATCAACACAGGACAAGTCCT